ATTGACAAAATAGTATTTGTTTTTTGATGAAATGTATTATATGATATGTTTTATGATGGTATCACGCTCTGCAAAACTCATTTTACAAGTACAACATGATGAACAGTGTATGCCTTCACTGTGTATTTTTATGTGATTAGTCAAACTTTTAGAACGATTGTCAAATGTGTACATATTAAGGTGGTTCAGAAAATCATCAAATTGCTTAAAAGTTTTTAAACAAAATAGACATTTTATAATTTCTTGTTTATGAAGTGTATCATATTTGGATAAATTACTAGGGTTCTTAAATGTTTCATCATATAATTTATAATCATATACTACCGTATCATGTTTGTGAGTTGCTTTGTGTCTATTAAATAGGGAAAGGTAAGAAAATTTCTTGTCACAAATATCACATTTATATGATGCTTTATGAGATTGCATATGAATACCAAAATAGTTCTTCGAGAATAGCTGTTTGCATACATCGCATTTTACTTCATCATCTTTGGTAAAATTGGACACATATCTACTTTTTAAATGTATCTAAAATGAATTAAAAAATTAATTAAAATAATAATTTTCTATTTTAGTCAAATATAAATTCTAACCTTATTTGCTTTTTTATTTTTTTTCTTGATTTTTTTAAAAATAGTTTTCAATCTAAAATCAACAATTGTTATTTAAAATATAATATATACTATATGTAGTTTATTCATAATGAATATTAAAAAATGTTTCCTATCAAAATATATCAATATTAAATGAATAAATTACTAGTACAAGTACACACAATTATTTAAAGGACATAATATTTTATGAATTAAAATATACAAGCAATTTATTATAATGTGCATTTTGAAAGTCTTTAAAATATATTATCAATTCAATAACTTACAATAATGTAAACTCTTCATCATCAACTGAACTTTTTGAAGAAGTGGTAGTAGCAGCATCTAAACATTAAAAGTTATAAATAAAACAAACGAAATCTATCTGTAAAGTGTAAGGAGGTTGGTAGTTGATAATTTATCATACAAAAAATTAATTATTTCAATGGCTAATTGTATCAGCTAACATCGTTCTTAAATAATTGGTTCAATAATTTTTAAATCTCTAAACATGTGTATTAAATATATCAGTAAAAAAATTGATTCTTTAAAATTTAACTTATAGATTTACAGTCATTAGGTATTCTTAAAAACTCATTAAAATCAGATATCTACTTTTATTTACTGAATTCACTCTTTCATATCCAAATATAAAGAATATTGCTGCAAGGTACTTAAATATGATGTTAAGATTTACCTATATATTATGTAAACAAGCAAAAAACAACAACAAATTAAAAACCTGTATGAATCACATGAATGATAGATGACCATGGCAATCTAACCTGACCATTTATTAACGACAACCACAATCAATTATGAAGTAGAAATTGAAACTAATTATTGGGTATTTTATTTTAAATTGTATCATGCCTACAATTGTATGATAAATATTAACAATATGTAATTTATCTATTATAAGTAGATATTTAAAATTATATTCTAAAAAGTTAAAGTGCATTATTAAATAAATAGGTACCTATAAGGAGTAATATTATAAATTATTATTATTATTTTATCATATTAAATTAAGTAAGTCCTTTTTCCTAATATTTTCATTTGTAAGTGGGTCATATATAATTCCTTTATCGTTTTTGAATGTGGACCGTGAGTTTAAAAACAGGGTATAGGAAATAGGTACTGCTATGTTAGATCATTACTTATTTAATAAATTATGTCTCTTGGCTCACACAATTATGCATTTTGCTATTTTGGTCACAGGACTCCCAATATTTTAATAATTTAGTTTAAACTTACAGCTACAGAATTTTACTAAATACCTACTATTATACAATATATTTTCTGGTATTTTATTAACCCATAAAATATCAAAAATAATAATTAAGGATTCTACCTCTGGTTTTTTTTTCTTTCTTGCGTATACGGATATCATTTCTTATATTTGATACAAAATCATCTTTAATTGCCATGCTTTTTTCAATCTGCAATCATATTACAATATAAGATTCAATTACTTACCTATGCCATAATATATTATATATAGAACAAATTGAATGGAAAATAACACACATTAATTTGAAGATATTAGAAAATGTTATTACAACCATTGATTATAGAATAGACTATTCTAATATCAATGTTAAAACTAACGTTTTAAACAACTTTATACATCTTATTTCTTGGATATTGTTTAACTAGTTTGTTACAATAATTACCTACCGGAACTATGCAATGTAAGTCTTACATGTTTTATTGTAAATCTATGTATTACTGCAGTAAATACATCACTCTTAAATTAATTTAATTTAAATAGTAGTACCATTTATTAGGTATACTTAATCAATGTTAGTATAATATAGAAAAATACATTTTTTAGTTTTAGTAACTTTATTTTAGTAACAACTTTTTACTTTTTTAGTAACAAACATTTTACTAATAATAATATATTGAAGTAGGAACCTACCTTATGTATTATGAAGATTCATGTGGTAGACACTTATGTTAATACAATGAATGAATGAACTGAGAACTGAGAAAAATTAAATTATTAATAAAAATTCAACATGTGATAAGAATTATTAACGTGTTTATTTAACATTTTACACATTTAATTATTATCATTTTCATCACAGTTAAACAATTGCAAATTTTACTCATTTCACACATTAGTTAATACCATTTTGTAGGCATTGCACTAAATTGTCGTATTCGTACAAGATCTCTAAAGACGGATGGTAACCTTTAAACATTTTGCTATTCGTAATTCGTATCCCGCCGCATAGGCTATAGCCTAAAAATATGTTTATATATTTAATCTTTAATCAAATATCAATGACGTAAATGTCATTGGACAAATGTCATTGGACACCTTATCAATCGAGTACCGTGGTCCATAATATGTATTATAATATAGTCAATATCTTAACAAATCTTTAAATAAATTCAGAAAATGTTGTAAACATAATATAAATATATAATTCACACTTCACAGCTTGACTTTTTTTTATGTAAAAAAAAACTGTATAATTATTATAATATAAGTAATATCATATTTTATCTGTTCATAATATTCTAATTCTAATTTATAATTACTGGCGTCTGGCACATTATACATAAGTACATATAATTCACAATTATTATTAAACTGTAAATGATTTTTACAATGTCTTTATTTTGTTACCAGGAATAAAGATAGTTTACTCAGGGCAGGTGAGACGTTAATTCGTGATTATAGGTAGTGATATTTCATTTTAACCAACGAAATTAACAAGCACAGGTGGATATCACGATTATATGTATAAATATTTTATCCACTTTGAAAAAACCCATTCCAGTAAGTTATTACCCATGTTATTATCACGATTCTATCTTCAACGAGTTCAACTGTGGTTAATGGTTGTAATTGTTCTGTTATTATGGTCATTGGTCAGTGGTCATTGTTTAAGAAAAATTTTACTGTGATTGAGAGGATGTCACTACACACTAGACATCTGGAAGTAAAAGTAAAACATAACTATGCAACGCTTACTGCTTGTACGTGTTTAGTACCCATTGCGAATTGAAAAAGAATATGTCTATAAATATGTCTAATTTAACTGATTTCACAAGGAGCGGTTTGGCCTGTATGAACATTTTGTTATTTGAGTGACCCATCAAGTTTAATTGTACCTAAGCGGTTATCCGCCGCGGATGAAAACCATAAGTGCGCGTGGCCAAATCGCTCCGTGTGTAAATAGATAAACTGTTCAATTTTATAATAATTAATAGTTATTAGTTATTAGTTATTACTATTTACTATAATATTTACAATTTACATAACAATATAATATTATTTTTCTGATATCAGAAATGTTTATCAGATATGTGGCGGATAAAAAACTGGCTAAGATCCAACATGCTTCAGCAAAGGTTTGCTAATTTATCTTTGCTGAATATTGAAAAAGATTTATCAAATCAGCTAAATCTCGATACTATTTTGAATAAATATTGCATGAAACCCAGAAAAATTATGCTGATTTAAAATGTATGATACCTTAGACCTTAGTTATTTATTAACAAGATTATGAAATTAAAATGTTATTGATATTTTATTAAAAAAAGAGTATTATTAATTTATTTTCTTTTATTTATGTGAAGTGTGTTAATTATTTTAAAGTTTTGATTTATCGAGTATTGTAGGTTTAGGTGCAGAGGGGAGTTGCCCTCACAACTCTGTGATGAATTCATAGATTTAGCTCCCCGCGTTTTAGAGGTCTAGTCTAGTTGCGCCACTGCATTTTAGCACACTAGACAATTCAAAAACATGGAATTTTTAATTTATTTATTGAGAAGAGGGTGCAAGAACTCATATATAAGCTGTCAAATGGAAATCAATATTCTATATTTTGAGAGTATACAAAATAAGTTAAGTAAAGTAAAAAAAAAAAACAATTTAAAAAGGCTTATTTAAACATGCAGCGCGTGAGAATAATATATTATAACATCGTACATACGTATAAATACTATAATGTATAAATTAATGTAGACATTATAGTTCAAATAATATTATATTGTATTATATTGTATATGTAATATAAAAAATTATACTATATAATATTATGCTTATACACTCGAATCTGGTCCTTAACTTTAACGCACAATTATTTTTGTGAATATTTGTTTTTAATCATTAACAGCATAGAGAAGACAATGTTTATATAAAAGTATACAATATGATGTGTATCGTATAAATTATAAATATTATTTAAGTACTATATCTATATATGTATATGATAATAAAATTAATAATCGTAAGTATAATATGTATATTGTATATAAATAATAAAAATAATAATAATATGGAACAGTATTGCGTATATATAGGCGGTATATTACTCTAAAAGATTAAGAGTTCTGTTGGTCTTCCTCAGCTGTGCTCTCCACGGAATGATTTTGGCAAGACCATCATCGCTGTCCGAGTCTTTTGAGTTGTTGTTGGAGACTTGTTGCTGTGTCTGCGGAGGAGTTTGTGGCGCCGTGAGTTTCTCATCCGTTTCCGTCACTGAATCATCTTCCACTGCTGGCTGATCATTTTCCTTGTTCTGACCGTCCGCCGCAGATTCGGCAAACGTCACCTTGGCTGGATGTGGTTTCACATTGGTTGACAGCCTAAGCAGACAACAACTTTCTGTTATTGGAAATACACGAAACCGCTTGACATTTTTAGAATCAGATAAGTTATAAATTATGTAACAATTATAACTGACCAACATTATAAATACAATGTTTTGTACACTCTATTGCTACCGAATTCCAGTTTTAATTTGATACACTTTAGGTATGCCATTTCAGTTTTTTAATTGTTAGCGACAAAAAGTTTGTAGCCTGTTTTTAAGTCAATATCAGGTCATATTATATTTGATATAACTAACTTATTGGTTCTGTTGTAATGGATAAACCGATAAAGCATGTAGGCGATAAGATAAACAATGTGAACAGCTATTATATGAGTGTAATTTGTATTATCATGTTTTTATATTATAATATATGACTTCAGTAATATCGTGATATCATGATATCAAACTTTTTAGTAATAAGTCAAAAGTTTTTATTTTAATTTTTAGCTGAAAAAAGGAGTGGCTACCTAGATATCCGTTAGACTAAATCGGTTTAAAATTATCCTATATTATCCCGCATTTAGGGATAATGAACCACATAAATTATTTGGTCCAAACATCCCGGTGCGTTTTTTCATACCGGTTTAGCTTAGAAAATTTCTTTAGTAGGTACTTGTTGCGTTCCGAGGTAAAAATGTCTTCCTAATTGTTGGCTATGTTTTTAACGTTTTTACGAATTTTAGCTCATGTTTTTTGAGGGGTATATATACTAATAAAAATAAAAAATATAAAAATAAATTAAATATATCATGGAACTTTCCTTATCTATCTAAGTTACTAAGAGCTATTCATATTATAATTTATAATATATTAAATTATTATAAAAATAGTTAATAGGTAGGTAACTATATGCTACTATATTAGACTATATGCTTCTGTGATGCAGTGTGCAAACATTTATAATAGTGTTGTTTTGGAAAATAGCTGTAATTAATTTTATTGGAAGTAACTCTCAACAGATTAACTCGGATATAAAATAAGTTTTACCCACACTGTTGAAAATGTGATAATGTATCTTGTTTGACGTGTAGGTACTCTTGAACTCATCGAATGTAGATTAGTATTTAAATTGCGTGGGTTTGCAATAAACACTAATCTTATTTTCAACTTATGGTTGTTGTATTATCAAAAAAATTGTTATCGAAATATTGAATTTGAACATAGACCGTATTGAAAAGTGAACGATGCTTATTATATTAGTAGTTAAAATTTATTAAAGACAATTAGTATTTTTACATTTTACTTTTAATTCATAAACACATCCACACACACACGCACACACACACACACACACACACACACACACACACACATACACGCACTTCTAGTTAGAGACTGGTTATATTTACTGTGAAAACAACAATAGCTGAGCACTCGCTGGAAATCAAACCGTGACGAGGACAATTTCTACACCAACTAATTGTCTCAGTGACTAATAATTAGACGATGATAGCAAAATATTATAATCAACATTTTTAACAAAACGTACTTGTCGTCTTGTCTTTTGTTTTGCATCAGTTGCCGTTTCCATGGCGGCAGAGATTGCAAACGCTTTTCTTCCGCCTGCCGGCTAAGCTCCTCCTCTAAGTCCTTTCGTGCTTTTTCCGCTGCCTTTTTAGCCATCATTTGACGCTTCCACGCGGGTATCACATTACCGTTGGCGTCTTTTTCCGGGATCTATAAAATAAACATTTATTACATAAATAAATATTTTTGAAATGTTGTGTAACACATATTAATTTATTATTTATATACTAAATAGTATTAATCAGACTACCTAGTTGATAATATTATAGTTATTAATATTATTGTTAAATGTTTGTGGTTATAATAAAGTGTATATACTAAACCGAAATATAAATATAGAATTGCAGCTAAATGAGTTCCACCGACAACAAACATAAAATATTAGAATTAATTAGAAACATAACGTAATTAACGACCGACTAGAATCGCACGAAAAGTAACGTCATTGCCCGTCTTGATGTCTAACACGAGGTGAAATCGCGTATGATACCTACTACAGCTTTCAGATATTTTTATGCCTAGAGTGAAATGCGTGTAAATGGAATAGCGATTGAATATCGCAGAGGTTTAGTCACGATTATGATTGTCGGTGTGTGTACAACATATATTAGATTAACGTTTTAAAATTCAAAATTCCCTATATATTTTATATTATTTTAACGTTTAACTGCAGAAGCTAAATCGAAAAATCAAAATATTTTTATAGTATTATTATTATTTTATTATAAAATAATAAAAAAAATGGTAAGTATTAGTATATGATCCATATTCTTTCCATCTTAATTAATTAAAGTTGAAAATCCCTATCAACCATAATCTTCAATCTTGTATTTTTTATTAGTTCAATTTATTATAGTTAAAAATCAACCTGTTTTTAATTTATACAACTTAATATTTATTAGAACGTGAGTAATTAATATTTTTTAACGTTTATAGCTACAAAATTGAATGTAACTATAGAATAATATAAACCATATATAACTAAATATACTTATAGTTATTAGTATCAGATAAAATATTTTTGAAGATGCATGTAATACATGTGTATACTGGGTACATTATCAAAACCAATAAATATATGATTGGTGATTACCATTAAACCAAAAAAAACTAATACCGGTTGCGGTGGTAAGGTTAGGTTAATGTAATCGATACAATTTTGAATACGAGTATTATAATTATGAGTATAATATTAATTAAATATTATACGGTTATATCAGCTGTAATATTTTATGTAGCTAAATAGGTACCTGATCTATGATATTGTCGGGCGACAACTGTTTGGTGATCTCGTTGATCTTTTGTTTTTCGCTCATCTCGTCCATTTTGACTTTTTCCACTTTCATCTTTTTAATGCCGTTAATATCTTTGGACATTTTTAATTCTGCTATCAGATCTTGCCTTTGTGCTTGTAACGGAGGCACGACACCTAATGAAACACAATAAGTAATAAATAATAACACACATATCACACGAGTCAGTGAAAGCCGAAGAAATTATAAACGATTCCCATAATATTGTTATTGTAATATTCGTCTAATTACACGCGTTGTTATTACATTGTTGGACTTCATTAATATGATACAGAAACTAATTCCAGTGTATCAAATTCTCCAAAAAATCAATTATTATTTATTGTGTACAGAAGTTTTGAATGAATGTCGAATTGTTATATAGACGGTAAAGGTACGCACTACGCATTGCAGTTTGCATATTGATTTTCTTTTAAACAGTTTGATATATTTTTTCAATGATCAGATCATTTGTAACTAACAAAAACATAATATAATTTAGACTAAAATTTGATTATTTTAGACTAAAAACGATTGATAATAATCTAACAATCTAAACAATTTATCTGTTCGGTAAATCCATTTTCACCACATACTTTCAAGTATATAATATATATTTCTTGGAACAATTAGTTGAATGATTCATTTCTGAAGTGTTGTTCAAAGTAAAAACACAGCTTGACTTTTCAGGTTTAATTTATGTGACTACTGATTATGCGTTAGCTCAATATTTTATAGTTTAATGAAACACCGTTTTAATTTTGGTAATGAACAGTTGGATTTCGAAATGAAATAATGTTACCCGGTCTTAAAAATAATTATCGTGAAAACAACATAATACAACAAAGACGATTCTACAAACTGAAAAAAATTCACGACGCCGTGGGATGTATAAATGTAATTATTTATTAAGATTAAAAGCTGAAAGCGAGAATATAAGTCATTCATTTCAATTACGATTTTTTCTTTTGTCAATATTATATTCGAAGAGTAACATTCCATTTGTGTCATTTATTGAAAAAAAAAAGCTAATGAATAAACCTGTAACTTATAATTAATAGAATCGTTTTTTTTTTTTGTAAGGTATTCGATGAGCAACAAAATAAATAATGAATTTCTATATTCAAAATATCTGTTAAGGTAAACCGATAATAATATAATTTATAATAATATGTTTGCAAATAGTTTCTTATAGTTTTGAATTAGGTTTATACTTATAAAACCATACATATGAGTCAGATAAATACAATTTTAATCATTTATACCTACTTGAAAATATTTCGTTTTTCGGTAAATAATATTTTAATTTTTTTTTAGGAAACGCATCACGTATATGAAGATGAACAATAATTATTATTTACCGGATTGTTTATCCACATCGTTATTGTTATTGTGCATGATCTTCACGGTGCCCGGCGTCTTCTTGAGCTGTACGCTGTGCAAGTCGTGTATGCTGATCGCGGCCAACGGCTGTTGCTGGTGCTGCTGTTGGTGTTGGACGGCTACCGACAATTCGGACTTGGTCCTGTGCAACGGTACGTTTGCCGACCTGACAGCTTCGTCACCGGTATTGCCGCCCACGATGCTCTTCAGGTACTCTGAGGGTTTGATGAGTCCTATGTCGTGGACGCCCGTGGCCGGGAACTTTGGTGGAATGAACGCCGCTGGTTGCTGAGGTCCAGTCATCGACGTAACCAACGCCCCTCCACCATCTGAAGAGTCTCCTGCGAAGTATGAGATGTGACTTACCGACCGTGCGTGCTTTATCTGATGGTGGTGGCCGATGTGTGCCGTAGGTTAATAGCGCGTGAAGCTTTTTACATTTTGTATTTTCCCTGTGCATTATGGGTACCTATACGCTTTTTGCACACACGAGTATCGCGCGGGACAACTGCGGTAATCTTGCAGCACAGGTACCTAATACTTAATACATGCGCACAAGTCGATAATTGGCGAAAGCCAAGTGAAATCGCTCCGATTTTTGTAGGATTATTCTTTTTTAAACAGTTTTTAATTAATTTAATTGCACTCGAAACAAGTCGATTAATATATTAAGATAAAAATAATGATTATTAATATAAAATTAATTAATATGCTCGACCACCGTATAGTAGGAGAAAGGGTTGCATTTTAGAGGAACTAGAGAACTTAATATTTTTTTCAATAAGCTTAGATTAATTAAATTTTAAACGTTTTTTATAAACATACATCTCCACCCTATTTATGTTTTTTCATCATAAATATTTATTATTGCGTATGTTAACAATAATATCTATCTACATCAGGAAAAAAATTACAGTTAATAATAGTCAAATATATTATATCTACTGCAAAAAAATATAAAATATGTGAAACTTTTTAATTTTTATAAAATGTCTGTATTTCTGAGACGGGGATAGATAAGATATAAAAGTATTGACTCCCAAAACGGCGGACCAAAATAGAATCCAATTTTATTTTATTTTTTTGCTAAGCCCGTGGTGAGAACTGATCCATAACGAAATTCTATTACCTGCAGCGTGTACTACTTATTTAACGGGTGAATAATAATAATAATAATAATAATATGATATTATAAAATACTCACTGGAATTGCGGACTGACTGCTGTTGCACGTACACATACACCTGTCCGTGGAAATCGTTGACGGGCATGGGCGGCGGGGGCGGTGGAGGACACACGCCTGCCGCCGGTTCCGACACCACGCGCTTCAGCGGCGTCCGTTCCTTGTGATGGTGAACGGCCGCGTGCAGCGGCAGCGTATGATGGTGGTGTTGGCCCGGCATCTCCGGGTCCGAGTCTTCGGCCGAATGGCTCACGTCCGACGGCGAGCCGCTCGACACTCCCGACTCTGTCATTATACATAAGACATCACATTTATTTTAATTTGAATTTTGATCACAGTTTATTATTTTATTATTGTATTATAGAGATTACAACCAGTGGCGTAGTTATAAGGTGGTTGAGGTCAGATTCAAGATGGTGCTATTGCCCTCCAACCTCTCAGCCACAAAGAAAAAGCTTAAATTTACATAAATCTCCATTCATTTATTCATCTAAATGTTAAATAGTTGTAAAATATAATGTTTTACTTATTTGAATGATAATAATATTATACTTGTTGTGAAATTGTTCTTCAACAGCATATAACACCGAACTACTCAATGTTTAAGATTTATTTTAGTTAATATATTAGAAGTTGTATCAGTCTTCACATACCTTTTTGTATATGCATATATATTATTTATATGAGTACCTATATTAATTTGTTAAGTAGCGCTATTATAAGCTGGAAGAAAATTTAAACTATTACCCACCCCCTTGCATTATTGATTACAATACTCAAACACTGAAATCTTGCTTTAAAAATTTACATTTTTAAAAATCCAGATCTATATAATATTATAAATTGTAATATTGAATTTCCACATTGTATGTTTATTAGAAAGGATCCAAATGATCAGTGGCTGTGTAATATATTGTTATAGTGTTTCACAGTATCTCGCTGTAGACCGATTATAAATTTCTATGCAGTTATGCTATTTAAGTTCACACTGCATGCATGCATTTGGTGTGCTGATAATATTATAATTTATAGTATAGTTTATTATAAATTATAATTTAGTATATTATTATAAATTATATTTTAATTATAACTAAAATTCTACTTTTAGATTTTAGCAGTTCCTTGAAAGTTGAAACTACTTGAAGATGAATGTGAAATTTAACGATAAAATCACGATTACGATTTATGGCAGGTAATTAGGTCGAACAGGACGTGTGTAACGTAAAGGTATTAATACGTAAATAATTTAATATTTAAACAAATTTAAAAAGTTGAAACAGGTTGAATAAGATGGATGTGTCAAAGATATTAATACGTAAATCATTTAATATTTAAACAAATTTATAAAAATCATTATATTACTGACTAGTGACTACTGTGGCTTTAAATGATAAGGAATATGAAAGTACAATACATTCATTCGATTTGAAATCATATCCGACAACAGTTGTAAATGGGAGTTTAACGATAAAATCGCTGAATGGAATAAAATGTTTTATACTAGGTATATTATTATATGAAAATCCAAGAATCAAATTTACCAGAGTACAATAACTGGTTATTAAAGCTGTAGGTGGCTTACAATTTTAAGTGGTCCAACTGGTGTTGTTGTATGATGTATATAATACATTAATAGTACCTACTACCTAGTAAAGAATAATTATTATTACGGATGTACAAAATAAAAATGAAATTCAGTGTTTTCTACAAATATTGGTATCTTCAGTCTCCGGGTCTCGGCATGAGTTAGCATAAGAAAGTGACTTGGAGGAAATATTGTTAGACTATGTTATGTACTCAATTAATTTAGTAATAAAGTTGATTTGACGAAAAATTAATTTCGTTACATCTGATGTAAATATTCGGTTATAATCACCATGTATAATCCCCTTCCCCATTTTAAAAGACCGCATAAGATTATTCCAGAAAGAAATATGTAAAAAAAATGTAGTTAAAACAATATTTATGGCGAATCAGCAGTTTGTATAGAAACAATTAAATACGTATTTTTATTTCTTAATAAGAAAAATATTGTCCACTGAGTACTAATATCACTTGTTCACCATAATGTAGACTCTACTACTCCAGTCATAATATGTTACTAATTGACCTTTTATTTTAAAATCATTAATTGTACCTGCTACCGAATAATTGAATCACTTTTATGGCTTTAAATATTCAAAATAAGAACTGATTACAATGATAAAATAACATGATTATTTAAATTTAGGTAAATATGAAAAATAAATTATACGATGGCAATACTCAAAACCGTCGATGTATCATTATTGTACATTAAAAAAAAAAATTATATATGTATAATTTGACTATCTGGAATCAACTGGTTAATATATTAAGTATAAAATGACCTGTATCAAATGTGATAAACTGATAACATAAGCAAAACGTATATTATGTATACAACTATAAGCATACATTGCAGACCCGACATACAGGACCGACTGCCGGATACTAATTCGTTACAATAATAATAGTTAACGTAATTGTATAATGTGGATCCATTTTTAATTTTTATCGAATTCAAGAAAGTAAATAGTAAGTTATGTAATATTTATACTTTATAGTGTAAACTTTGTGCATGTATATGAAGGGTTTGGCCACTACTTATATAATAATAAAACTAAATCAACAATACGTACCTGGCGTCATTACGCCGACGGACTCGTAGCACTCGATCATGTCAGGCGATCCGTTGACGGTGACGTTGGTGATCGTCGCACACGACGAGTTGACCAACGTACTATCGCTGACGCCACCGCCACTACTAGTGTGGAGCACGACCACGGACGAACCACTGACTCCGGTTGTGCCGCCGCCTCCGCTGCCCGTGGAGCTCATGGAACCGGATCGGCTGTGGCTACCCGAGTCCCGGCTGGGGCTCTTTGACTCTTTGCCGCGGTGGTGATGCTGCGTGTGGTGCAGAAGACCTACGCCTTCGGCCCGTTGCCTCACCTCGTAAATGTCCTCGTAGTCGTTCTCGCCGGCCGCCGTGCCTGGGTCGCTGCCCCGATCCGATGACGACGAGCTGAGGTTCTCGTCCGAACCGGCGCCGGAGCTGCTGTTACTGCTGTGCACTTCCACCTTGACTGTGGACACGAAAAAATCGGGCGCCCGAAGCGTTGTCGTTAGAGGCGTGAATGTACCAGCTGGACCGGACAGCGACGCGATGTCGCGCCGGGCTTCTGAACCGTCGTCCCTGTCGCCGCCTACCCACCGGCGCCGCTGCAGCAGTCGCGACGGGCACGGCGAGAGCGCAGCGCAAAGGTCGACGGCGACCATGATGTTGTTACAATATTATTACGTTTAGGTATTGTTATTGTCGTTGGCGGCGACGTGTAAACGCGACTGCAGCGGTACAAACAACTCATATGTATTATTAAAATGTGATATTACTAACAGTTTATGCCGGTGGGCACACGGCGACGCCTTTTTCAGTTTTTCATTTATTATTGTTTACTTATATCTTTAACCACTTATCTCGACACAGATAACGCGTCCGACGGACGAGATAACGCCGGCATGTTCTTAACGCGTCATGTCGCAGAATACGATTGCCTATTATATGTGAGTTTATTAGCTAGGTACCTATATCGCGCGCCCGGCCACATCCATTTTTTTTTTCGATTTCTAGAATCTAAACACAGGAAACTCGGTATTTTTTCATCGGCAAATGGTCGTTTTAATTAACTCTTGAGCAGTGGTAACGTGAAAATCTATATTATGTGTACCGGTAGAACAGCTTCGTTATCGTTTATTTATTACGTTATTCGTTGGTATATAGATATACTACATGTTTATCATACAGGTATGTCGTACGAGAACGCGAAAGTGATTAGAAAAAAAAATGCAGCCTACACTCTATATAATAATATAACGAAGTTGCGACCCATAAACGAATGCAATATTTTTGCGTATAGTGAATACTATGCGTGAAAACGACGCTAGAGAATTTATTGACGTCGAACGTGTTGTAATGAAACGGCAGACAGGTATTCTGGATTTTACGGCGTAAATCGATATTATTATAGGAATATCATGCTCAAAAACACTTATGTGGAGTATTAACGAATCGTATTTGGCATTTGCGACGTTCGTGTTACATTGTTTGCTTGTTCGTTGAATGCATTACACTTAATATTATTTTAGTTTCGAGTACTGGTTGTGCCCGGAAATACATCGAGACCTTAATAATGGTCTTATCGCATTACTTAATTAATAAATGTATTAATTAGTGCAAATTTTATTCCACTCTAAGCTTGTACCTCAAGGTCTTATAAATTCTAGCTTTAGGGGTGAATTTCTCTAAATTTTTTACCACAAATGTATAGGTACGTATAGTAAACTAATGTGTAACGAATGATTTATTGCCGACCACCGATAATATCTCATTCTAATATATTAACGTGTTAGTTTATGTACTATTTAATATAATCTATCCTAATCTTCTGATTATTAAAAGTGGACGTAGTTTTCTAAGGATATTTCCTTTCAGTGTACACCTTTTTCTTTCAGATATCACAATGATAGATTTCATAATGTTTCATTTCCCCTTATTAGGTATATACTCGTAATTTCCAACTCCTTCTTTTTTGCATATTTTCATAAAACAATACTCTCCGCTCTATCACAGATATAAAATAATTTTTAAATGTGATTCCTTTCACCAACTATTAAACTGTCTGTTATTCCCTTCAACTTCATTCCTTGTTTTAATCATCATCATCCTGTTGTATTACTTTTAAACTATTCTTTAAAGTCCCCAATGCGGCGATGCCCTGATTTAAAGTATTTTATTCTCCTATACCAGATTTGTGTTATATCTACATTTTATATGGCATTATTTCATTTGTTTTTGCACTTGAATGATTTTTTCCAACTATATCGTAGTCTTACTATGGTCAAGGTAATATTTATTTAAATTTTTTTCGGGTGTTCCAATAAAATGACGTATTATGAATTATTGAAGTGACAACGTACATATAATGAATAATCTTCCGATCGGTCGGATGTCATCCGGTCACGCCTAATCGTCTTTTGCTATTATAGTAATGTGTTATAATAATATCATGTCTGTGAAAGAAATATGACAGCGCTCGCACGTAGGCAGTATTTGAATGTTATTATTATTAAAATATCGTTACGCGGGCGGCGGCATTGTAAGACGTGTAAACCGAAAAAATCCGCCATAACAAAAAAAAAATGGTATACATTTAACGGCGACTAAAATATTGTAATAATATAATATATATAAACACACTGTCGTGTTAATATCAATATTATAATAGAGCTCGTCTTACCGGTCATGGTGTTGAGGCCAATGGCCGGCAGAGGTGGCGGCGCGGGAGCGGCCGTGGTCACGTACGACACCGTCTTTGCCGCGGTCTTGTCCGTCGCGAATATGTCCTTCACCGGGTCGTCGATCACTCCGTTCGGGTTGTGCAGGTAAAACGGTCCCTGCGGCTGCGGCGGTCTGACCGGTTCGACGGCCTGCAGCACGACCGCAGCCGAGTTGACTTTGCAAAATTGCTGATGCTGATGCTGATGCTGATGCTGCTGCTGCTGCTGCTGCTGCTGCTGTTGTGGCGGTGGAGGTGGTGGCGGTGGCGTGCTCACGACGTACAGACCGTCTTTGACGGCCACCTTGCCACGTCCGGTCCCGTTAAGCTGTTGCTGTTGTTGTTGTTGTTGTTGTTGTTGCTGTTGTTGCTGCTGCTGCTGCTGATGACCGCCCACCGCCGACGGGGGATGCAGGTAAAACGGTTCTTGGCTCTTCTTGTAATTGACGCAATCGGCAAACGAGCACTGCAACGACGGGCGTACATCATTCAATTAGTTCAGTTTAATATCGGGGACTCGGCCATTCGGGAGGACCAGTTGGATAATATCGCATGAAATATAATATTATGCACCTATGTATTTGTACGTACTTTAGTATTACTTATTATTATTATTATTATTATTATTATTAAGAGGATGTAAGCGTACAATTTGTTTTCTCTCTCTGACCCACTCGCAACATAGAAAATGTGTGTTTAGCAGAACCAACCATGTGTCATTACTTGTGATATTAGGGTGAATTTACCTTTTATCAAACTTTAAGCTAAGAACATTACCTATATCTCTAAGTTAGTTTTTTAGGATATTTTCATTTTTATACAATTTATTTGCATTTTTAAATTTAAATAATGTACACGCTTATAACTTACATAAAAATTGTACTGGTATTAATTATTTTGGTGAATTTACTCTAATATTAAAAATAATAACATCGAGTTGGTTCTGCTAAACGTGAATTCGCTATGTTTCGCGTGAGTCAGGGGAAGGAAACAATTAGTGCTCTGCACCCTCTTCATTAATCATTTGTGTTGAAACTACATGCGAATTCATAGCTATACTGGCTTACAATAAATTGTTCCGGTATATGAGTATATGACCGTTACTTTTATGTAATAATAGATAAACCGGGTTAATACTTAATACTGATTTTAAGCCCAGAAATTTTAATTCATATAAGATGCTATTTTCCTTCTGGATACCGCGATGGCATTATAAGTAATATAGACAATTATTAAAATTGATATAATCCATACAATATAATAGTATAATAAGAAATGTATATTGTATGATTAATTGATGTTAATAACAGAATTGGTAAGACGCTAGGCGTCTATCGGACGTCAAACCTTAAAAATAATAATTCTACAAACATCTGAAGTCATGATGATATATCAAAATCAATTTAAGTGACACAGATTGACATTCATGTACAATAATTGCCGTTCTAGATGTCGAGATGAAACTAATACTGCAAGTGGTGGTGTCATCTTACCGTCGGTTTTATTGCTTAGTGCTTGCTCTAGTAAGAGGTTTGACTGGTTTTAATAGTTTAATGGCGATTTATAATAATATCATATCCATATTGAGACGCGTTCAATAATAATTAACTATCTTACTAGACGCGTGCACGATTTTATGAGGTCTGTGCGTCTGTGTACCTCGTGCGTTAAGCATGCGTACCTACTTATAAAGTTAAAAAATACACAATAATTGTACGTAGGTAAGTAAATTAGATTATAGAATCCGGCTAGCCATTCATCTGAAAATTTCAACGATGTTATGGACGAGCAGCAGAAGTGTGTGCCCACAGAGATTTACCTACTCATTTAATGAGGCGGTGTATAATTATTAATTATTTGTGTTTGTATAGTAAGTCTATGTCGGTTATTACTCTGTTTACATAATAAATAAATGGCCCATATTAAGCAAAATATATATATATTATATATTGTATTAATCTATTTAGTAATATCATGTATAAATATACCTATATATACGAAGAGAGACGTTCGAACGGCAAACACACATATAATATAATATATAGTTATATAAATATTTATATGATTATTTATTTATAATATTATATTAAAATACACTCACTCGTGTTTTCGGTTCTTCTTTCCGACACGTACAGCCCAATAACCTGCCGTTCTTTTTCTCGTCGTGATAATCTGGCATCGTACCATGTTGCACCAATATGTTCAGACACTGCAAGCACACGCACACACACGATATAATATTACATTATTAACATTTCGAAAGGGTATCGGCACAATACATACAGTATAAAACGAATTATCGCATTATAATAATATATATAAATATATCGATGGGTTTCACAACACTTAGACTTACATATAATATATTATACGTATTACGTGTAAGGAATGATGCAAACGGCAATTAATTTGCGGTCGACATATCGAGTACGTACATTTTTTTTTTGGCCTATACACAGTACCTACACCCATTACGAAACGTCTATGTGTATTATAAGATAAAGGGGTTAGAGCGTAGTTATATTTGCGTTATATATTTTTATAATATTGTATGAACTCCGGGGTATGTATAGTGTATACCTCCTGATTGACGCTTGGTACTCATACATATATTATGACTCGTGGTGGGGAGATTTATTATAATAGTGTACGTATATTATATAGTTGGTTAAAGTTTCGAGCTTTCGTTTTTCTCACGTTGTACAGCTTCATACATAACATTATTTCGTTCTTTCACTGGCCGTGATGGATCAAGGTCGCAAACCACCTGCAGAATCGCATCAAGAGGTTATTGGAACGTGAACGCAAATAGCGCTGACACCGGAATGTCCGTTGGCCGTTGTCGATTTCACCGCGCGATGATCACTATAATATCATTCACCCACGTTCATCTTAATAGCGATATAAATATTAAAGATCACGGTCGTGGTATTTAACGAGCCACGGAAATAATATGCATTGCACTGCAGCTGCAGACTAATTGGGTTGATAATTATCTAGGCGATGAGAACAAACACGTTTTCCTTGTTTATTTAAAGCCACCATCGACGCCATTGGAATTTCGATAATTTATTGTAGTAAAACATTACGGAAAATACGATAGTATGATGATAGGTCAATGTCGATTGACGACTGACGAGAGGTTATTAACGATGCTCTGCCAAATGTTTGACCGTAGTAGGTACACCGAGTAAAAATCTCGTACTATCGGTGTATGAAATTGATTTTATTCACCAAACACACCGATTTACAGTGACCTCATCCGAAGCATTTGACGTGTGTCAGCACCGAGTAGCAGCAGAAAATTGGGAACACAGTTCACAGAAATAATTATTACATTATTGTTCCTTCCTCGATATAATACTTTGTTACTAGCATAGCCGGAAAAACGATAAAAGAGAAATTGATATACGCACGAGCCGCCTTCATTCTCACACACAAAACCTAATAATTATCATCGTGATTCACTGACTATGATAAACTTCCGTGGATATCAATAAATTTGTGTTATTGAATTGATGTCGATGGGTCACGATAAAACAAAAATTGCCAATAATAATAACTACGGAATTTAGAAGACCGATATTTCATGCAACTGTTTTTCACGCATGCATTTCTAAAAAAGAAAAGTCATTAGCTCGTTTCAAAGGTTTAAACTAATGTATTAATAATTTTGTTATTGAATTAGTTTTAATTTGTTTTATAGAAGTCTGTATCACCACAGGACACTTCTTAACTAGGTAGTAGGTATAGAAAAATTCCAGAATTTTAAAATATGATATTTGAGCGTATTTAAAAACTACAAAAATTTGAATTTGAATAAATTCATTACCTATTACAAGAGAAAATAGGGGAGAGCATGTTTGGTGAATTGTCCTGTATAACATAAAGGTGTATTAAGACGTCCCTTAAAAATAATTGACCACATACAATGCTCTTTCACTTAATAATGTTCTGCAGGCTTCAATGCCATCCAAGTTAACAAATGCAATTTAGTACGGGTCGCGCAAAAAAATTGATTACAATTAAAACATAATTAGATATGAAATCAATATATTACATTTTATTTGTTTTCTCAATGGATTTTTTTTTTAAATGGTAATTGTGTCACATATTTTGCCATTTTGGAATTGGGTTTTTTACATTACATTTTTTATTGTTATTGGATTTCTTGAACAAGTACGCATAAGGCAAGAGAAAGTGAGGGAGAATATAAATGATGGAGGCAAGTTCTCAAAATGTTCTATCTTCGTAATAGTAAAAAACATAAAACAAATCATAATCTTATAATATCTAATATATTTTATATATTAACATTGGCTGTGTAATGGTCAAGTATTGCTCACCTCCATCTGATGATTTTCCGCTGCGTCGTTGATTGGACTCTTCCCGTATTTGTCGACGACCAGGTTGGCGCCGTGCCTCAACAACCATCGCACCGTGTCAACGTGACCTCTGCTTGCGGCGAAATGTAACGCTGTTGCACCATCGCCATCTCTGAGGTTTGGGTCTACTCCTTGATCTCTGACCTGTTCAATCACACATACGGTGCACAATGCATATTATATAAAAAAAAAACAATAATAACAAATTCTGGGCAATGATGATAATAACTATAATATAGTTAATAATTATTATATGTGAAACAGAAAAAACAACACACACAATCATATTATATTATCAGGCATTATCTACCAGAAAAAAGATTGAACGAGATCTACGGCAATTATTTTATAAAAATTATTTGAAAAAAGAGTAACAATGCTGCTGAGAACGTAAAAACCATGACGAAACATCTCGAGGTTCACTGATATAAGCGTGAAAGACATAGCGATTTCGTGTTTTCAATATTAAGCGTTATTCTTAGTATATATGTATAGGTTTATTATAATAATAAGTAGTTTATACACACAAAACCTTCGGTGCAAAAATGTATAGATGAAAAATGCTAACACGATGATTGATCAAGACTTGTTATTCTCAATAAATAATGAATAATGGTTCTAGTCATACAAACTCCCAAAATCCATAATACTAGGTATCTATTTTGTTTTTAAACCTTTTCCGGATTTTTGTATTGTTATAACTAGTAAGTAAGTACTTAGCTTTCACTGAATTTTAATAAAAAATAATGATATTATGAAACAAGACGTTTGTATATGTGTCTTAAATGCAAATATTTGTATAACATTTTAATTGTAGTGATTATATTTTAATGATTGTACAATTATTAATAATTATGTTACGAGTAGTTAGCGTAAAAACTACGCTAAACCAAAGATCAGTAGTCTTTATTATGAAAGTTGAATAGTTATAAAATATAAAAATCCCACGTGCAAATACCTTCAACTTCCGTAATATTTTGTAGGAAAATTAAAAAAAAATCACACATTTCATTTTTATTATATAGGTATTAGGTACATACCTATAGTAGCCAGTTCCTTCTATAATATATAACCATTTTTGTTAGTAGGTAATATAAATGTTCGATAATAAATCATATTAAAGTGTATGGCATTAGTAAAACTTATTAATATTATATTATGTACCTGCATAACTGATTGCGTAGTAGGTCAACAACTTTAATCTTGCAGGAATTAAGAACCACTAGCTTTATATGGGTAAAAATATGTCGAAAAAAAATGATTTATGTTCCAGTTATTCTATTCATTTATTTCGTCTGATGCGATAAAATGGTCCACATAATAATAATACCACATAATATAAGACATTCCAAATAATTGTATAGTCGGGGCGCAAAGCCACTATCGGAGTACCGTCGAACAATATTAGAGGTAAAATGTTGCACTCACCATCCATTTCAAACAGTTGAGACATCCCATTTGGGCAGCGGCGTGCACTGGTGCCATGCCGTCTTTGGCTCGGACGTACAGCGAACCACCTGCCTCGAGCACGAGGAACTTGAGTACTTCCAGGTGTCCCTCTTGTGCGGCCAAATAAACCGGAGTGACGTCATTGTCCATTTGAGTGTTCGCACTGTAACGAAATACATACAATTTATAAGTATAACTTATACACAAATCACACTGATACTACAGTATAAGAGTCCATACACGCAACACGCCAAGACAAAACTCCAATAGAGTTCACAATATTATTATTAATTTTTGTACAGTATAAATAATTTACGAGAACCGGGAAAGGAAAAGAAAAAGCATATATTTACCTAACATTGTTAGGTACTTATTATTGTATGGCTTTTTTGGAAGAGACTTGGAAAATAATAGTCAATTTATTATGTGATCGTCAAAGTACAAGACGGCACAGGACGCTGATTTGCGAGGTATTCGAATGGTGCATAAACATTAAACACATGGAATCAATTAATTTTATATTTTCATGTATATACAGTAACATATATATTGTATATAATATGTGTACTATACGATGATGTTTGATAGATTTTATAAAATAAAAAATATTTAAATATTTCAATGATTGCGTGAAATTAATAATTTTTATGGGTTCCACCGTCACGTCACAAATCGTGTCAACTACCTATTACAGACAGCAGACAGGCCCACTTATTCATGAGTTCGCAACGAATGACACTTGAGGAATTTACAAAATGCATGAGCATTAGCAACGTTATGTATATATATATTTTTTTACTTTAAAGCCGCAATAGCTAAGGTTATTAGCTTTCATACTTACAATATTACTATATTATTCAGATACTATATACAATTTTACAATATTAAAACGTGATTAATCTTAGTATGTACAATATAGAAAAAGAAAAAAAACAGCAAAAAAGACATATAAAATTATTTAAGGTTATAAAGTTTGGCTGTTTCCAGAAAAGTTAAGATTTTGTTGGAATTTTCACAATCGGGTCCAAGTGCCTTATATAGGTGCTCAGGTATGTTTAATGGGGTTCTGATGTCTGCATAATTGCGGCAATGTAGAAAGACGTGTTTGACACGTTATATTTTAGATCATATTATAATGTGTCGAGACATAGAATACCTGATGGTTTGTATATATTAGTCCTTTTTTTACCAATATCTTCTTATTATTCAAGCGGACGTGACTTTCACTTAATTTGTTCACTTATTGTTTGATTTCTATTTATGCATGGAATTTGTTTTACACATTTTAAATTTAATACCTAGTCAATAAATCAGATCTTTATTTTTAATTCGTAACAATATTTAACAAATCTAAATCATCACCAATTTACTCTAAATCACTACTTAAAGATGGTTGCTGTAAATTATTAATCAAAGTACGGAGTATGATTGATTATTTACGAAGAATATTCGGAAATATTTAAAAAATAATGTATTTTATACGTATATAAACGTATATAATACTAACTAGGTACTATAGTATACATTATGTAGGTAAAATGGTATATATATAATTAAAACTGCAAATACCAATAAGTGGTGCAATTGTATGTCCTTCCCAAATAGTCGATTCAAAAGTCGTATTAACACATTATAAAAATAAAAATAATTAGAAAATAACCAGGTTTTTTCTACTTATACATTTACCCATCGTATACAAAGAATATCGACTATTCAAGCATGTGTTATTATTGTTACTCAATTATAACATTCAGCGTGCCTTTAGGCCACCCGAAATCGAACAAGTCGTTATAGGATTATCTGACCATAGTAAGTCCAACTAGGAACAAAACAATAATATCATTATTGTACAATCGCCGTCATCACTATAGTGAAATGCAACTATACATATATTATATATATGTATATATACAATTGTAAACTTGTACGAAAGTGTATTTGTATATAATATGATTGAAATATTAAAGGTTTAGGTATAATTACGTGATAGAATTAATGATATTTCATGAGGTTAGTATGTTAAGTAACATACTTATGTTATTGTTCGACACATGCAGTGAACCAAAATAACGGGGCAATAGAACCCTGCAAGTATACGGTAACTGACAAGGCATAATTAAGAGCCCGGAAATGATGTAGATTTCTCACGGTAGTGTACGTAAAGGTTAGATTACATACCTATATAATATATTTATTACATATGAAATAGTTCACTGCATAAACTTTGGTATTCACTATTCATAAACTTTAAACACGCTCGTTAATGATATTCGATGAAATGGCAATACTAAAAACTATTTTATTTTTTTACTAGCTAGTTTGTATAGACCTACTGTATCGAGAAAATCGTTTATATAGGGTACAGGTGTTCTTGTGATTAAACGCTCAGTGCAGTGGCCAGTGAGTCGTTTTTGCCGGAATTTGTAATTGATTAACCTGCACATGGGTATTTTTGTGCAGCCGATTCGGCATCAAAACGTGTCTGGAACACGTTTTATATTTGACGACGTATAAAATATATAATATACCTATATTGGACTCTATTAGGTGTCCGCAAACTATAGGAACGACCATTAGGCGGTTTTCAGGTTGAAAAACCAGGTTACTGATCCGGAATCATTTTATCAGCTAACGTGGCGGGCAACAAGTAACAACACTACACGCTTGTTAGCTTTGGAGAACGATTCGCGTGTCGGTGGCGGGCGTAAATAATAAAAATAAAAAGTGCAAACATTATGATGTTAACATTCAAGGCGGTCACAACGAAACACCGACCGTTTACTTTGGTGTTTTTATTTCGCAATTATAGACGGACGTGCTAGAATACTAACAACAACAATAAATTCGTTTGTTTGTACAGCGGGTATTTGACGTTTAAAAAGGACATAAAAAACCTGCAGGAAAAAAGTATGTACTTAAAAAAAAATGTATGCAGGAACGCGATTTTACCCTCATTACAAGGGCAGGTTCAATGGGCAACGACACGACAGTGCAGGTCTATAATATCGCAATCTATACAACTCTGAGCGAAACATCTATAATGCAATATGAAGCAACAGATAATATTATATTGTTATAAATGCACATAGCACACGCGGGAATTTAGAGACCTTAAATAATTATAATAATAATATCGTCTGGAAATGAGTGCGAGTCGTGAATTACGAACAACATCTAACTAAAAAATTTGAATCAAAAACTACTTCAGCAAATAATATTAATATTAGGTTGCAATATTATTTAGTATATTTTGACGATGCCATCATTCAGCCAAATAGGTAGGTATGTATGATAATGTTATAATATTTTATTTTAATATGATATATAAACTCCGTCGCTGTTATTATGACCACTATTACTTAAGAGCATTGGAAAACTCCGAGTGCCCAACGTTTATGCCACCATAATATACTATATAATTACACGTGTGCACTATACAGTTAGAGCTAGAACTACCGTACACACGAGTATACCTATAGTATTAAATTATTTTACCGTGTACAATGTAGGTACATAGGTTCCCAGCCATGTGTACCGTTTCTAAAATCTAAATGCACACAGATTTTCAGTATTTTAATCTGATTCATTATTAAATATTATTAACTTGTTTCTTTATTTTCGAGAGAGTATAAAAAGAGCATTATAGTACATTTAAATATCACATTGTATAGTGTATACCTACAATATAAATTTGTATCAATAAATCATTTGTTAGTTAATACTATGTTATAATATTTGTTTACCAACATTTTTTTTTTATTATTATTGCAAAATAAGGGTTATTTATAATCTGTTTTTATAATACTTCAATAAGCAAATGTGATAAAAATGAAAACAAAAATAAATAGAAGGACAGAAGAGGAGAAGACGCCCAATGGTGGCACCCTGGGTGTCTATTAATTAAACTTGCAAATAGTTTGATAATTTTGAAAACAAAATTATTTGTACAGTTATCTCATTATTAGCTTAATGCCTTAATATTATGTAAACTATTATTACATAAAACAAAGCTGTTATTGGGTAGTGACTAGTGAGGTACGTCTTGTATTATAATATGATTATAACACATTCATAACATGTATATTACTTAAGTATCTGTGTAGCTAACTGATAATAATTATTATTCTGTGTTACGTATATCTAATAATTTAAAATAATATATCGTTTTAATAATTCATTTATCATCGTATCATCGTAATAACTTTTCAATAACCAATAATAATAGCAGTTTTCGTTATCGTCATTAATAGTTTTTTCATTTAGTTTTAATTACCTTACAACTTTGAGTAAACACAATTTATTTAAACAAAATCTATCAAAAGACTAGCTTTTACCCGATTTTGGTCATCTCTTCCAAAATATAAATAATTAACACAATATATTGTATTGTTATTTAGATTTTTTATCGCAAGAAGTAGTTCAGATATTTATTACAAATAGACAAAACGATGTTCCGTTAATCTTTTTACTGCAAACACCATCGTGATTGAAATAATTTCGAAACACATGTACCCCGTACGCCATTATACCTACTATGCACAGAATGATTTTAAACGTGATATGCTTATTGCTCTACGCACGAAACTTCTATTTGTTCGATAGATATGAAATAATAAACTAAAAATTATTTTTAATTAAATTCAAAAACGAACCCAGCAATATAATTCCATAGATAATGTAACAGCAGTAGGTAATGTTAATTAATATCGATTTTTTAGTTGTATAATGTTTTGTATCAATTAAAGGTAAAAAGTAATCTATCGAAAATATGTAGGTTGGGACAGGCATTTTTAAATTGTATTGTAGAGCAGACTGGATGTCGAGACCTTAGGCCTGAAGTATAAAATAATTAAAATATAACAATTATTCAAATCAGCAAAATGCAATTAATAATTGTTCAAGAATGTTGATTTTTTTGTAATTTGTACAAAATATATTATTATATATTAATGTATTATAATATTATTATATGGTAGTTACCGCATGTGCATGATTATAAGCAAATAATTATAAAAGTAGTGTAAAAAATGGTATGTTTGTTATGGTAATATTATATTCCTGGTTCGTTACCAAGCAGACAAACGACGATCCGATTTATGACGTTTCACCCGAGTGCTTGAATCGAATTTTCATAATTTAGTGAAATATATATTATGTATGTCT